CCACCATCAGACTGTTCTTCCCTCCCTTCAACGATGACCTGGGCACCATGCCCACACGGCGTCCGTACTCGTGGAAAAAAGATTACACTTTCGAAGCCTTGCACCGAGTGTACTTTTGTGACGCATGGAGAGTGCAGCCAGTCCTAGATGCCCCAGGATCTGAACTCGTCCTGGCACCGCAACCAGGCCTTTTAGTGCATGGCTGTTGTTGGCCTCAGCCAAGTGCAACACCTGGTGTCCTCTCTGTCTCTGACCGTGACACAGAAAAGAAGGAATATGACGTGCAAGAGGGACAGCCTCTGTCCTCTCCTGCGGCCACAGATGCCACGATGGCTGACGAAGAAGCAAATTTGGCGCCTCTGTCCACAGCTCCTCCTCAGAGTCGCCTACCATCCCGAGCGCAGAGCAGCCTATGGAAGACGGTGACAGTGCTACCACCTCCTCTGCAGATGAGGATGATTGCCTCAGCAATCGTCATGTCCAGCACAAGACGAAATACTGGAAGCAGAAGATAATGCAAGGAGCAGGCTTCCCCCGCAGGGCGTGGACCCCCAAGGTAGCAGTCCCACATCGCACTTCTCTGAGTCCCCTATCAAACGAAGACCGGGGTCTAAGGCTAGTGCAGGGAGAGCTCAGTCCAAGAAGCCACGGAAATCACTTGCTCCAGCATCCAGGCAACGGCTCGGTAGCATCCCTGAACACGAGCAACCACCGGCTACACTGGCAGACCTGGCCAGTCGGAATGCTCAAAGGCAGGAGGCTTCCGTTTGCAGGAACCCCGAGACACCACCTGACCATCCTGGATCGACGCAAGAGCGCCCACACACCATGACAGAAATTGACATTGCCAGTGATCAAGAGCATGCAGAACGTGGAGGCACTGCTGCCACTGATCTCCAACTGGAATCTGAGCAGAGAGCCATGCAAGCCCTAATACGACTATCAAAATGCGGCTCGAACGGCCAGAGAAGCTGACAGACAAAGTGTGCCGCTCCCCTCATTACAGATCTACAGTGACCTGCCTAGGGAATGGCCGATGGCGAGGCTTGCAATTTCCAACAAGCAAATTAACCGCCTCGTCCGTACATTCCTCTGGAGGCGGGTGACAGAACAAGCACTCCATGGCTCCTCCTTTGTGGACATTCCAGATGAAATCAACCAAGCCCACATAGGAGACCTTCTCCGCATAAGTGAAGCCTTTGCTGCTCCCCTGTCCAACCTCTTCACTTTCTCCACAATATCGGGCCGCGGGCCTGTGAGAATTGTAAAAGCCTTGTG